CTGCACACCACGGGTATCGAAACCCGGTTTCTAGCGTTGTAAGTCCGCAGACATACCGCTGTGCCACTGGCGGGGGGGGGGGCATATTTTTAATAATGAATGTAAAAGTATAATCTATGGTAATACCTATACACACTGTACGATTATTTTTGTGGTGATTTACGTGCACCAGTATTTGTGCTTATGAGTTATGACCATTACAAGAGATTTATTTTAGAAACGTGATATATTTCCTAATTTCCGTGTTGCCGGTTACGAAGAACGATACGACTTATTTCGCAATCACGTTTCTTATAAAAGAAATGTATTAAACATGGCCCAAAAGCAGCTTACTGGACTCGCCTGTCTTTCAACACCGCTGATAAGGTTAATGAATGTTTAGTACGTCAGGCTAGTGTAACCATGACAACCCATTCTTTCATCCCACGTAGATTTGTTTTGATTTTTCTGTATATCATTGGTTAACCATCTCCGTGGTGCACGTGATGTAGCCATTGACGTCAGAAGTGAGAGTAGTGGTACTGAACGAGCTTCTCTTCACGTTAGTTGCTACTGCAGTAACTAGAGCAGTACGTACGTTTTCTTGCTATTCTATGAGGTTAGGCTTCTTACCTTAGCGTAATTTCATTCTATGCTTAACGCAGAGTACAAAGTTATTAGATGAATACCGTTAGTTCAAGTCCATCAGAACAGGCATATGCTTGTGAAGTTGGGAAGACCGAGAACATGGCTTCAACGAACGAACTGTGTGACCTTCCTTTGGTACAAGTAAGTCGGTGTGCATGTGCTTACCAAGAGTAGTTGAAACCGTGCAAATTATAGCTTTCAGTTTCAAAACGATACGAAGATATAACTTATAAATATCTAACTAATTGGACAGGTGTAAAAAAATATGGTTTCATTTTCAAAGAACGTGTGTGACCTTCGTTTGGTTATGACTACTCGGAATAGGTATGGACGTATTTAGTAAGAGAGTATTTAATGAAGTATCGGTTTCAGAACGATATAAATATATACACAGACAGATAAATATCAAGTAACTTAAGTGCACAAACATAAGTTATATAAATAATCCCTCCTTGCAAGTATTTTATTGCTCATGATCAAGAAATTATTGTAATTAGTTAAAACACGTGCACTTTAGTTTAAAGATGAGTTAACTTATAACGGCGAGTTTACAAATATGAACAGAAATACTAGCAATAGTATCTAAAAATGATATGAATAAAGGTACATTATAAAGTGTTAAAACTTAGAATTTGCCACTTGTTTGGTATTACTATTAATTATTACAGTTATCAGAAATACGTACATAGAGGGTCAAAATCAAGTTTCCCAAATTTCTATGATCTACCAGCTGGTCATGATACGTAGAGCTTGAGAAAAGAAGGGGGCGGCGTAGTTTATTGATTATTTTACTCAATACGGTACAACTACGAGTCTCTTCTGTTGGATCTATACATAGCTCTGGAATGTTCGCGCCAACACGAGAATCTCGTGGAAACGAGGTCGTCTTGAGTATCAGTTTCTGGTGATCTAAGATGCCAAGACTGCGTGACCTTTGGCAGTTTCAGAGCCTTCGTTAGACTTATAGACTTTTCTGACATGTCACTAGAGTTAACATGATTTGGTGTGGTAGTCGGTAATATTCATCATTGGTAACGCTTAGATTTAAACGCTATGTATTGGTAGAAGGAAAAAAAGAAAGAAAACGATGCTTTTAAATTTACTAGAACAAAATATAACTTACAGAAAGTAAGTCATATTGTAATGTGAACTAATTCGGCGTAAAACAAAATATCGGTCTATTACAACAGAAACTATGAAAAAGAAGAATGCCCCGAATATAGTTTTTAAAAAAACTGACAGTAATCTCAAAGCTCGTGTAATGACGTAACTAATGATTTAAAGGAATATTATCGTTATAGGCCTACATCACTGGTGTATCGATTTATAACATTCAGTATTTCTTGATGCTTATTACACTCGGTTGTCTGCACGTTACCTTGAATAATGTTAATAAGATTCTTATTCCTCATCTGTACACTTCTAAGTTCTCGTCACTAATGCTAAGACAAGCCAAATTGAAAGACACGACCTTATTTGGTGGGGGTAATAATCTTCCCACCCTTAATTTTAAACACCAATAAAAAAAAAATGCTCACAGTTTTGGGTATTCAGAAGTTTGCTACTTTTAAACATGTATATTTATCTAATTGTTCGAAACTTGGTTAATAATTTTCCTAATTGATACTTTGGCTACTGTTTTCACCTTGTTCTTACCCTGTTTAATGTTTTGGCCTTATTCCTACCGTGGTTACTGTTGCCGCCTTATTTAATGCTTTAAGAACCATAGAAATTATTTATCCTAACCCTAATCGAAATTAATCATTCAACACAAGCAACAGCGGGAAATATTATTGTTACTTGTGTGTGTGTTCGTGTAGGAATATGCTGACGGTTAATTCGTGAGAGTACTAATTTGTTATAGAATAGCTAATTCGCCGATTCGAATAGTTCTGATATCCAGCCAGTTACACGTACACTTTTAATAATTATGATGCGTCATTTGTGTGTAACAAAATTAAGTATAAAATAGGGAGGGGGGGGGGGAGGTATCACTCTTTGTTGGGCACGAGGCATAGACTCCCAAAGTCCCGTCGTAGAAACGCTACTACTAATCATCTATAGTTGTAATAATTGCATACACGATTCTATCCGAAAAAAATATATAAACCTACGCTTCTTGTAATTCACCTTTTTTAGAGCATTAATTTGATAAATTTAATTCATCTTCAACATCACTCTGTGCTTTATCCCTTCCGTATACTTGAAATATCTGTGCGTCTCATCGAAGCATTAATGTTTTGTTCTTTATATAGCTCAACAAATCTCAAATGTGTATGTTTTTCTTTTGCACTGGTTCGCCCTGGGATTATCTATAAATCTTAAGTTGAAAACGGTGTTTAATATATTAGTGTTCACGTGCCAGGTGTAACTGATTTTTACAAGTCTTATTGCATGGTGATTTTAGCGTAAAGAAAATTGTTAATTTACGCTACAAAGTTTTATCCATTTTATTGAAATTTTATTTTCTAATCGTTTATGAAACAAATCGTTTTGGGGTAGTCCGAAGATAAGATACGTTTACACCTTTTATTCTGCTATTCAGCATTCCAGCTAAAGAAATACGTTATTTTTTCTACACGTACAACCATATAAAGTTCTGCTGAAACTTTAAACTTCAGTCCTCAGCTGATCTTTTTTTTTTTTTAACCAAATATGAACTTTTACGTTTTCGTTTTACAATTCACCTCACCGTTATACCAGAAGAAAACTTGAAAAACCTCACTCTCGTTCCGAATACAAAAATGGAAACTTGTATGATTGTGTTCGCGCAAGAACGCGTACGTATGTATGTATACTGACAAACTACACTAAGCCAGTTTCCATACCTAAAGCCATATAAACCTTCACTAGCAGACAGTAACATTGCTTCATGGATTAAAGCTGACGCTGCTCGAAATTCCAATTCTCTGCTCATGTCCTCAGTTTTATTCGTTTTTTGTTTTTTTTAGCCAGCATTGATTTCATTAAAAAAAAATAATTATCTATATTCATCAGCTCTGTTGTCAGTGGAATACGTTAATAGAAATCTTTGTATTTCTCTGCTTTATTATCTGGTAAAAGGGTAAAGTACACATATCTATATTCCTGAGCTTCATTATCAGTAAAATACGATTATGTGTATTCCTCAGTTCTGTAAAATGGTTTGGTATGATTATTTGTATTCCTCAGCTCTGTTGTCAGTAGAATACGTTAATAGAATTCTTTGTATTTCTCTGCTTTATTATCTGGTAAAAGGGTAAAGTACACATATCTATATTCCTGAGCTTCATTATCAGTAAAATACGATTCTTTGTATTCCTCACATTTTACTACCGTAAAATAGCTTAGTACAGTTCTTAATGTTTCTGTGGATAATTGTCTCCAGAATATTTTAATCTAAATCAAGAAAGGAATATATAGGTAGATAGATAGATAGATATACGACAAACAAATGGTAGATGCTCGCAACGTTTTGGGCCTAAACGTCCTTCTTGTGGAGATTTCAACCTTTACACACAATAACTTATAAGCATTAAAATGTCTGTTTCTCATTTGTTTGTGGTACAAGTTTTTTCTTTTTTAATTTCGATTTAATTGTACTACAGGGGTTTCTGCGAGACTTTTCATAGTTTTTAATGTTCATACGTGTTTTACAATAATATTGTGAATACAGTACTTTAGCAGTTTATTTTTGTATCTTAGGGAACTTGAATTAATGTGATTGTATAAAAAAAATAATAAGAGATGGTGTAATAAGAGAGCAAAATTAAATTATACCAATATATGATTGTTTGATATAATAATAACAATGATTAACAAACATACTTAATACTTAATTGTAACTTTTTTCTTAGTATATATATATATATATATATATATCATAATATAGTTTCAGAATATGTTAATATGCTTACTTACGTAAAAGTGTCCCTTTTTCTTTCTTCAACCTCGAGATGGCACCACTGAATACACGTATATTGTTGAGTTTTGTTTGTTTAAGTTTCGGTTTAAAAGCCGAAAGCTGCCAAAACATTGGAAAACAAGAGGCCTAACGTTAGTGATAAAAATCGCATAAACTGCAGATTTTTTAAATATTTAAAATAATATTAAGTATTGTTGAATATAATTTCTCTGACAAAACACGTTCTTTTAGTAATGTGTAGTTCGTGATCTGTCAGTTCATGGTCGTCTCATTTCATATACGGCGTATTAAGATTTTACGACACAAATAGTTTTTGTCTTTCACTCCGTTCTTTTGTGTAGTATTGTTATGCTGACGTATTGTGAATTTTATTAGAGGTTTGTTACATTTTTTAAGTTAAGAGCTGCGTTTGGGTAAGCAAAGAGTGCTTGGAATAGTCGATTGTTTCCACGTGCCACCATTAGTTTAGCCCACACAGAGTTGTCAGCATGGGAACCGAATTTGGTAAGCTTCTCAAATCTAGTATATACCACATCATTATGACTTGTTATACACTGTAAGTATCGTATTACTAATAGTTATTATAAGAACTTCTGAATGAAAGTATCGAACTGTTTAACAATCTATGAACAGCATCATATGTATGCTATATCCCAATACCCAGGGTCCTCAGGCTGACTGGGATATTAGGTTTTGAAATAGGGTTACACCTATTTCATGGGGATTATTATTCGCTGTAGTAAATCTAATGAAATTTAAATCGGGATTGCATGCTGTTATAGAGCTTATATTGAATGTTTCTTGAACAGTCTGCGGATTATATGTTTGAAGTTGAGTTTTATTCTGTTAACAAATAATATTTTTAATATTAATTTTCATAAGACACACACAAACACATGCGGTCCCTGATATATCTGTAGAGTACTAATGTATAATTGACAAGCACGTGTGCAGGCTTTCTGTCAACAAGTGCGACGATTGCCCTGTACATGGCTGTAACCAAGTCCCTCCTGACGTAATTCGTTGCTAAGCAACATTACCGAACAGCACATTTTCTTTCATTGAGCTCGGTAGCTTGCGAAAGCTGTAAAGTAGTTTGTTCGCAAAGAAAGAAACTATAACCTATACTTATCCATAATAATATTAATGTCTTTTTCACATTTATTCAACATAAAAAGTAATCGGTGTGTATATTTTTCGTAATGAATCTCAAGGGTCAGTTTATTTATAATGGTAGAACTAGCTGTCAGCGGAAGAATACAAGCTAACAACACAGGCGCTGAAATCAGTTATAAATATGGGGTAAGAACTATCGTTACGCACTAGTTTGCTTGTAGAAGGAAGAAGTAGGACGTCAGTAGGTGCTAGTATTTAACCAGTTGCTTTCGTTTTTGTTATTTCTTTCTAGTCAAACAAGGTTGAAGCAGAGTCCGGCCGTCTTGGAGCGAAGCTGAAAATGGAAGGATTAGAATCATTGACAAACAATAGTCAGTGTTTTGCTGTGCTGAATTACGAGCAGGTCAGTCGTTTACATAAAATTATGGATAAAGTAGTGCCAATTCATGGACGAGGGAATTTTCCAACTTTAGAAGTTAAACTTAAAGATCTTGTGCAAGTGGTACAGGGAAAACTAGAGAAGGATTCAGTGCCCGTGAAGGACATTAGACTAAACGGTGGAGCTGCAAGTCACGTTTTAACGTCAGAAAACTCGCCGTATAACGATCTCGACTTAATTTTTCATGTCGATCTATCAAACCAGCGAAGTTTCGACAAAGTAAAGGCAGCAGTGCTAGATTCCTTGCTTGATTTTCTACCGGAAGGGGTCAGCAAGAACAGAATAAGCAGTTGCAGTTTGAAGGAAGCTTACGTTAACAAGATGGTTAAAGTTATAGAAGGAGACCGCTGGAGTTTGATTTCACTCAGTAACAACCGTGGACGAAATGTGGAACTCAAGTTTGTAGACGTTATGAAACGGAAGTTCGAGTTTAGCGTGGACTCCTTCCAGATTATCTTGGACTCCCTCCTGCTATTTTATGAGTGTGCGGAGGTTTCTATGGATGAGAACTTTTACCCCACTGTTGTTGGTGAAAGTGTATACGGTGACTTCCAGGAGGCGCTGTATCATCTCAACAAGAAGTTGATCGCTACTAGGAACCCAGAAGAGATCCGAGGTGGCGGACTTCTGAAGTATTGTAACCTGCTTGTGCGTGATTATGAACCTGTGAATCCTGAAGACATCAAAACACTAGAGCGTTATATGTGCTCCCGTTTCTTCATTGACTTCAGTGACGTCATTCAGCAACAAGCCAAGCTGGAAAGTTATCTAGCGAACCACTTCATAGGAGATAGCCAAAGTAAGTACGAATATCTAATGATTCTTCACAGAGTGGTGGATGAAAGTACGGTCTGTCTCATGGGCCACGAACGGCGACAAACCCTCACTTTGATTGAAGAATTAGCTTATCAAGTGTATTTCCAAGAACAATTCCATCTGTTCGCAAAGAATCGCCATCTTCATCCATACGAGTCATGGTCAGCGGGCCAACAATTTCCATTTGGCCACGGCTTCTTCTACACTCCGTATGTGGCTCCACAGCCGATGGGTTATTCGTCTTGCCCTTGTGGAGGCTGGATGCCATGCACATGACTTGGCATGGAAAGTTCCGAATGTTAAAGAAGGCTAGAATGGATATTTTTATTTTTCTTGATTGAACAGAAGTTGACAGTTCAAAGTTATTTAACGTGTACGAGGTCGATTGGCATTATTAATGTGGTATAGGTTTTAACCCTCACTGAAACAAAAAATCTTTATTCTGGATTACGCCAGTTAAATTCCTTTGTTATTCCATTTATTGTACTACAGTCTGTAGTTACTAAAGAAGAATAAGAAAAAGATTGAGTAAGAAGTATTGTCAGGTTAAAACAAACAAAAAAAATCCGAAAATTTATCGTAAATGTTTGAACTTTCCATTCACTTCTATGTGAACTTAAACCTTAAGGTATAGACAGTGTGTCTTAGCTAACCGTTTTTAGATAAAGTGCTTCGATGGGTAAATATATTGTTGCAGAAATCGTAACAGTTAATGAATTTGAAGAACTGTACTTGATTGTGCTGTACCATGATATTTAGAGGAATGCGACAGTTTTTGTCTTATTTTTGTGGTAATTTCAGGTAAGCAACCAGTGTTAGTGTTTTAGATGTCTTCGAAGGTGGCGTAAGAATGTTTTTAGATTTAGAGCTTATGTGTTGAGGATGTTCTTGCCCATTTTGTTGTTAATTCATAAATACTACTGTTTTTTTTTCTCGTGCATGCAATGAATTGAAGAAAATGCTACATTCAAGTAATTAAAAATTGATATATGCATAGTTTCTGTGTTCACATTTGAAGTTGTATACTGTGCTTTGTTGGGTTGGGGTTATCGGATACAGAAATGTTTTAGGATAAAATACTGAAAACACCCAATGAAATAAATGTTATTAAACCGTATATATATATTTAAGAGAAAATTAACGTTAACTTAGTTGCCTCACTTGGTAGAAGTAATCGAACAATACCAAGCCTTACCAAAGTAGATATTTGCGTACATTCACTGCCTATTAAAATATTTTTGTGTAAACCACGTTTCAGTCGTGTAAGTGTTAAGCCTAAATGTCTCGACACAGGTATTTGAATGTTTTTAAGGAAAGTTTTTTGTTTTTTTTAGCTAGTTTTCGTGTGGGGTGAGTTTAGTAAACTTTCAAAACATTGTGTGAGTGTGTGCGTGTGTATATATATATGCATGCATGCGCAGTAAAATAAATTTTCAAAGCGAAATATGCAAATTTTCTTCCTTGTGCGTAATTTCTACATTGTACTTGTAGTTTTAATAACTTTAAATAAAGCTGTCAGTGTCAAGGGTATGCCATCTTTGAGAATGTACATAGTGATGAAAAGTTCTGTAAAGAATTAAAGCTGTATATGTAGCTTTTGGTGCACGTTTTTCCTAAAGAGGAAGTAATAAATTGATAATTATAAACAATATAAGTAATTCTCTATTCAATTCTTACTCTTAAGTTTTTAATGTGATATCCCGTATGATTGATCATGATAATTAGTTTATAAGCGAGCTAATATTTTTGTTGTTGTTCAAACCCCCCAGAGATATTAATTATGCTCCTGCGACCTCTAGCAGTATTTAGTACATTTTGTATTCTGGAATTTAAAGTAATGTAATATCTGCATTATTATGAATACATGTAAATGTTCATTTGATAATAACTAAAAATTCTACAATTAACAAAGAATGTTATGTGCGAATGTCATTGGATTTATAATTACAATTGAAACCTTTGATAATTAATTGTTGCTCCTACGAGCCATGTTTGCTGCTTCCGTTGAAACCGATATTAATGTGTAAGAAAGTAGCTACTTCCATATACTTAAAACTATATAATCGAAAAATAGAATTAAAATTTAATTCACACTCAATGTTAAATGTTGTATATTTGTTTTTAGTATCTAAATAGTACAAAAATGAGACTTTTTAAGCATTTTCTTGAAAATAGTTTAACTTGGGAGCCTAATTTTCGGCAACCGACACACAAAATATGGAAAAATTACAGAATGATAAATATTGTTACAATGACAATCTAATGTTTCGAAGTGCGAAAATATTGTTTAATAATTTTTAATATGTTTGGTGTAACTTGGCTTAGGTATATGACACGCGTTTTTTACCTCATGGCTGAGCAGCAGTGCACCTGCACTTGTAGGGCTTGGTAAGAGCATGTACGTTGTTGTATTAATTTATAACCCGCACGAGCATCAAGAACTGCATGAAATCTTCTAAAGGTAAGAAAACTGGAAATAATTTGGCCCTTTTTAAGATTTTTAATTGTTGACATACACGTGGATTGAGTTTTTATTAAAAACAGTATTTATTTAACAATAACTTATTTAGTTGATATACCTGTTTTTTTTTTGGATCTCGGCTTTGTGGTGACTAATATTACTTCTTGTTACGTAATTCGAGTTTACGGGCACGCCACACACTAACAAAGGGTAGTTTACCCAAGCGGAAAGTCAAAATAAGCTATTGGGCAAGAATATTACAATCGCAAGCGCCTTGTTAAATAAAACTAGTGAAAACCATGCACGTTGGTTTCATAGGGGAATTAAATGCACCGTGCGGTTGTAAGCAGGGGAAACTTAAAGCTACAAGGTGAACCAGTTTTTTTTAATAGTTATAAAAAAACAACAACAACCTGAATCATGACATGTATGAATTACTAGTGGTTAAGTTTTTGTTTAAATAAACTCGTGCTCATCAAATTCTGAAATACGACAGTTAAACTAATTAGATTTACAGCAGTAATGTAAATATTGGTAGAAAATAACGTAATAAAACATTAAATTAAGAGTAAAAGAGTCCAATACAGTTAACGTTAAATGGGGTATCATGAAAGTCTCAAAACACAATTTATCAATACTTGAAAAATTAAAAGGTCATTTGATGGATGTTCTTCGTGTGATTGGGGTGGGGTTGTCATTTTATCAAAGTGAGAAAAAGAAATTGAGACATAAGTTAGTTAATTAACTGTTAATAATTCATAAAGGTGGGAATTCTCAATTTTTGGCCTTGTCTGAAAATGTAACACCTGACCTCATTTTTTTTATGAATGTGAACAATTAAATGTAATTTGTTTTTTCTGTTGATGCACGAACATGCAGTTTCAGTGCTTGGATTAACACATGTACTTCATTAATACACGAACTTCAGGCTTATCTGATACAAACGTGTAGGAGCAACTGTACTTGAAATTAGGTGTAATGTTTACGTTAGTTTAATGGGTTGATTTTCAAGTTATTTTACGTAATCTAAGGAGTCAAGTACATGTGAGTTTTGGAGTTAACACCTTTGATACTGGGTTTCATTTTAATTATTTATAAAAGAAAAGTAAAAACACGAGTGCGTGTTTAAGGACACAAACCAGTTCAGGTTATTTTTATTGTGTACAGGAAAGTAAGCAGAACTAAATTTAAACATTTTGGTTGGGAAGCAATTGACAAAGTTACGATTATAATTATAAGCAGGAGTGTGAAAAGTCAACATATACTTTATACAGAGTACTTAGAAAAACTGTTGGGTTCGTTATTTATGAAGGGGGACTATGCTTTTGTACTCAATTTAAGAGATAAGATGTACTATGGTGTAAAATGAGTTTAGGTACTCTATAAGTTGAGATATATGACGTTTGAAGTAACTGAGAACAACCTATAATTAAGAAGGTTGTTAAAATGATGGCTAAAATCGTTAGCTATGTGGGAGAGTAACCTTGACAACCGTGACATAGCATCGATCTGTCCAAACACTTGTAGGATTCCATTTGTAACTGAAAATTTGGGAAATTGTTCAAGTTATTAAGAGTTTGGTCCGTTATCTATCTTTCAGCGATTTTTTTTTAATATCAATACAGTAACAATAAAAATTATCAATTAATTGAGACAAGCGACATAGTTGGGTTACTTGAGTACATACCCCTAGTTTTCAAAAATAGTTAATTAAACTGTGTAGATTTGCATTGCTCCAGTTTTGTGTACGTTTTTTTCCCCCTTGTATGGCAACTGACTGTTAAGGCTATATTCAGTTGAACAAGAGTATGTAAGGTACACATTAGATATAGCAATGGATAATTTGTACACGTTTATTGAGAAAAAAAGGGTTATCGACTATATTTTTGTGACTTTGTAGTGTGTTTCATGTAAAATATATATATATAATTTGTGCATTAAAAGTAATTTTTAAGCTGAGTACTGGAAAAAGCCTATTTTTATTTGTTGTCTTAAACTTAGTTGTCTGTGATCGTGACACTGCATATGTTATTGAATAAGATCAAAGAAAGGTGAATTTTGCTATCTTGCCGTGATGTTGGTGTTGTAACAATTTACAGAATCAAACTGATCACGCTTACAAACAAGTATACAACTGGTTACAAAATAAAACTGCTTAATCCTTGTTGTTTTAAAAGAAGCACGTGAACTCCGGAATCGTTTAAGTAATTAGAATACAGAACCGGACAAGTTTGTAAAAAATGAGAAAAATATTAATAATTATTATAGTTAAATGATTTAGATAATGCACTGGTGTTGTTGAGCTAAAATATCTTTTAAAAAAAACCTAAGAGAAGAACTCCCTGTATTAGATCCTGATGGTCATTTTGGTTGAAATATTGGCTACGTTCTCTCCCTCATGCGGCTGTTTTACTGAAGTTCAGATTTAGCACCCCTGTAAGTGTACGTCAAATTAATATGGAAATGAAAGCACAAAAAAAAATCGTGGTTTAAAGATTCGATATTTTTCTTTTAACAGAGTTCGTCTTAAGAGAAAAAGCATAAACCAGAAATATAGGGTTAACTGTGTGAGAATTTCGCGGAAGTAAGTGAAGTAGAAACTATGTGCACCAACGTGTACGCTTGACCAGTTTCCCAGAATTATTCGCAGATTTCTAGTCTAGATTTTTGGTACAAGCATTATTTTGCCACCCACTCCTTTAAAGTTTTACCTTATTTGGCACCGTTATGGCATAAAGGTAAAATAACGTAAGAAATGTTCCACCTAGACTTGTAGCATGCATCACTTCCCATACCGTGTTTTTGTTCACTATTCTTGCCGTTAGGTTTATATTCATTTTACTGAACGTGGTACATGTACTTCTTTGATGTCAAATTTAGTAGTAGAAACAAAAAAACGTCAGCTTAATAGCGATAGTGTATGAAAGTACGTGTTTGTTGGCATTTGTACCACGCAGAGATATATAGATTTCAAACATCAGGGTGGTACTGCTTTAGTACAGTAAGTCTCTGCGGTTTGTCATCAAAACGGGTTCTCAGAACTTCACAAAATATATTTCGTACATTGCTTGAAGACCTCCAGCAAGTATATTGTTTCTAAGTTAGCTGTTGTATGAAGACGAAGTTGGCAAGTCTTAAAAGCCTGTCAGAAAGTTCACTTTTATGTGAACAAGCCATTAACAAATAGAGCACTAAAAATACTAACTTTTCTTATGATTTCTGGTTTAGCTTTCTGCCGTAAGTACTTATGTAATAGTAGCACTCATCTGACAGACAATTATTCAGAAATGCTGTTTTCATAACTCGCCGTTACCTTGTATTTTAAATAGTATAAACCTTCCAAATTTTGGCATAACACACAACACAACAATATTATTCTGTTGTAAAAGACAATCCACAACAAAGGAATACGTTTACTAGTGGATTTCTACTTTCTTCCGTGGTGAGTAAAGGACTTTACATGAGATCCTACAAAAGGAATGTATATAATCCATCTTAAACTACATACTCAAAAACAGGATCTGTCACCACAAGATTAAGTACCATAAAACCAAATCCTGCGCAAGTTCCTAAAATACTTTGCTAATAAATGTTCTGTATTATTTTGATGTTTATTCAAAGCTATATTTATGAAGTTTCCGGTAATGTAATCAAAATTTATGATACCTAAGTTATTGGTAATTCAAAATTTAGATTTCAGTTTCACACTCTTATTGTGCTTTTTAAACAATGCGTTGCAAGTAAGCAACATAAATGTTGCGTTTGTTAACCAAATACTTAGTTAAACGTTTCAGTTCTGAATGGGTATCGAAATGTCTAAGAACTGTTTGTTCCAAGCTCTACGTGTTAACCTGCCTTAGTTTTATTAGTTTAAAATATATTACTGTACAAAAAGCTTATTTTGGGTTTCCAAGTCTCGGGGAGTAGACAGTTTGTATTCTTTGGAATTTCATGCACAGTTTTCGATATCCCACCCTACGAACTTGAAATTGTCTTAAGGTTTTAAGTGAACTTATGAGCATTGTTTAAACTATCGCCATTTTGGGAACTTGTTTGATTACCTTTACATTCAGTAGAAGAATATGGTCAAACAGAACTTACATTTCAGCTGGTGGGTTAGAAAATTTTGGATTTAAAGTTAGATTAATCAAGTAGCTTCACCGTAGTGGAAGAACTTGCCAAATTGTCAGTTTATTGAGTTGAAGTTGTCAATTAAGTAATAAATTGTCAAGTATATGTAATGGGTTTTATGAATGATGTAGTGTATATGCTGGAAGTAAATGTGTTTGAATAAACTGTCAAGACCATAAAATGGGAAAATTAAGTTCAGTAAATATTTAAATATTGTAATTAAGTATGATCGGGAGATTTTTATTTATTTTATTAAATATCGTCTTTATTTGTCTGGATTAGATCACGAGCAACTCTTGTTACAAACATTTAGGGAAATAGTACTAATCACATTTTATTTAAGTAAACAAAAAAACTTTTGTTTTACTGTGTTTTCGCTTTTTTTTTTTAAGCGGGTAGGATATGTTGATGTAGTGTCGCTTACTTGTTCTGTAATAACGTCGTTAAATAAAGGCAGAAAAACGAGAATTAACTGATTGCATATTTTAATTATTCCGAGGTTTAAACAAGAACTTTTAATGTATTCTGTAGGTTTGTCACACTTTTAGATCAGATGGAAGTAGTACAATCATACTTGGCGTGTACAGGATCTAAATAGTTGTATTGGTAGAACGGGATCGGCAAATTTGGCTCAAAGTTGAACAGTATTTGAATCACTGTAAAAGATTACTCTTGTAACAGTTCTAATTTTTAACCTTTTTTTTTTTCGTCTGAAATATTTATCATTTAAGGGTTAAAGGTTTTATTCTGAATACCTTATATTTATGCTTGTAATTTAGTCATGACATTTTTCACATCTTAACCGAGTTCCTCGACATATATCAAAGTTCAAAATGTGTGCCCAACTAACTATTCATCCATTTTCAAGTACAAAGCTGTTTAACAAGTGTCTTGTCAAGTGTTTTCTGATCTATTGCACTATGAAAAACAGAAAATTTCTGTGTTTCAACATTGTGTATTGTGAAAGTTTTCTGAATTTTTCATTTTTAAATTTTGGTAACTACTTTTTTCTTTTTTTGCCAGTATATAGACTTTCATCAAACTTATCAAAATGTAAATACGTACGTATATATATATATAAATATATATGTGTGTGTGTGTGTGTGTATTTGAAAATCTGAACAAGTAGTTTGGTTCCGGGAAAAAATTGGTGTAAATTGTATGGTACGGTTTTCGCTTAAATCAAGTTAAAAATAAATTGATTTCAATTATATGACAGTGAATATGTATTATTATCTTGCTGAAAATAATAAAGTGAATTATTTTGCGGATAGATCAGCTTGGAGGTCTTGTTTTTCTTTATTGTTGTATGAGAAATATTTAACTTTTTATTTTATTTTTGTGTACACCAGTACATACTACACGAAACAGGATATTTGGAATTTTGTAATGTAATTATGACACGATAGTTATAAAATTAATCACTTCTTCAGTTCATTGTTATGCAAAATAGACATCTGATTATATACTATATAAATAATGGTCTATTCGCTTCTTTTACTTTGAAATGAATCATAGAGCTTAAAGTGCTTCGTGTTGCTTATAAACAATAGCTACTACAGCTCAATTGTGTAGTTGGTTTCAAAGAGGTTCCAAGTCCTTTCTGTAACAGCTCTATATGTGACTGGATAGATCCCGATCACATATAGAGCTGTTATAACATAATGTGGGGCCACTTTGAACTCAACACAGTTGTTGGAATATTTGGACGTGGTAGATAGACCATTATCCACAGTAAAAACAGACGATCTCTATATATGTTGATACTAGTAGGGTACCTGATCCAAGACTGTATCACTTATCCACAGCTGCAGGTGAGCGTCGAAATAGTGTACAGACGGTTATAAGATGACTTCATAAGGCCTAACTGTTCGTAAGATATCCAATAATGTGCATTCTGCTGACAACAAAGAGAGTTGCACTTCGCATTGTAACCATTTGTAAAGAATCTGAAGCAAGGGAAGTGGCATCTATGGTAATAATGGGAGTACGGTGTGGTCAAGAGGAAACATTGGTTGACATACTGAGTTATACGTCGTGTGGAATGATAACATTACTTTTACTCGTTAAAGGGACCTCATCTTACAGCCCTTTACTGCCCTGTTCTTGCTCTGGCTTCAGCATAATGTGTTAAACTGGTTAATACATCTGTTAAGAGAGAATAAAAAAGAAGGGTCTGATAATCAATCAAGCATGTACGAGTGGGAAACACGAAAGATGTAAACAACTATTTTTAAAATAGCGGTTCGAGGCTACTTCATCAACACTTTCATTTTAATCATTACCCAGACCGTGCTGCCCTTACCGTTCATGATGGTCATACTCGATATTGAAGTGAAATATCAGAACTTTAAATGTGTATAGCCACATCTTAGGTGAGAAATTCCTGCCCATCAGATGCATGGTTTGCATATATATATATATATATGACCTGGTGGGTTGATCGATATTATTCTGTAACCGAGTTTTTGCCATGCCATGTATAGAATAAGTGTGTGTGTGTATTGCGTTAGACGTGGAAAATATTAGAGTAATAGTAGAAACAATCAGAGTGTGGCAACATCGAGACTTGTACTCAGTTTCTCACTGTAAAATTTTTATAATAATGGCAACCTTTTCTTTTTTTTACATTAAAAATGTAATTTTAGCAACGAAAGGGTCTGTTTAAATTGACTACAGACGACAATTAATCAGTTTTAGAACTAACGTTGGAAATTGGCCAAATGACTTAAATGTTGCATACGACAATTGACAAAGTTTAAAATGACCCCTGCGAGAACTGAACAAGTGTTTTAAGTGAGAACAGACCCAATCTGTTTTAGGTGAATATAGACGTCATCGGATAAAGTTAGGGCCAGATGTAGTCTAGTGGTTACGGATCGGAAAGTTCAAGGTTCCAATCACGATACCCTGGTTAATATGTTCTGCATTTACAGCTGTGAGTTGTTAAATTGTAACAGTCAATCCTTTCGGTCGGTTAAAAGTTATTATTCATGTCGCAGGTGTTTCTTATTGATTGCCCTTCCTCTGGTTAGCAGCTCTAAATTATAGATGGTTATGCTTAGACCATAAAGGTCTCTTACCTGGGTGTTTATCCCACGTGTCGAACCAATACCAACTAAGTCTGTTTTACTTTATTGCTGGCATTAATTGAAATAGTCAACTGCCAACGACAAATGTGATCTTTTGTTGGTTGCTGGCAATAATTTTATTTCTGAAGTAACTAATTATATAGTACTATATAATATAGTACATTAGTCCTAGCAAAATTGTCACTGAAGTTGAAAAGTAACAAATTATAAGAAATAAACAAAATGTTATGTTAAATGGAACAGGAAAATTTACGACTGTGGTTCAGTAGGTATTGACATAGAAAGTCAAGTCAGTTCAGGTCTGTGCCCGGCATGGCCAGGTAAATAGGGCGCTCGACTCGCAATCTGAAGGTCGCGGGTTCGAATCCCCGTCCCATCAAACATGCTCGCCCTTTCAGCCGTGGGGGCGATATAATGTGATGGTCAATCCCACTATTCGTGGGTAAAATAGTAGCCCAAGAACTGGGGGTGAGGGGTGATGACTAGCTGCCTTCCCTCTTATTAGTCTTACACTGCTAAATTAGGAACGGCTAGCGCAGATAGCCCTCGTGTAGCTTTGTGCGAAATTCAAAACAAAACAAACCATTTCAGGTCTTGTAAACTAATTCAACATTAAGCTTGATCTCGCCAAAAGCTCAACTCTAAACTGAGCTACAGCAGAGTTGTGGGTGAATAAACAATATGACGAATGACGCTGGAGTACTTACTGTTTGTGGTTCTACGAAATGTTATTTCAATTACATGCTATGAAGTGAAAACTGTAAACACATTTTCACACACATCCAGTGATGATCAATTTTAAGTTCTTTTACTACAACTTTAATAGTATACCATGATATAACTAATATTTTTCAATTTTGAAATTAAAGCGTTTATCAAACCTGATATTAGTTGCATTTTTAAAATTAATTTTATACCTTAACATCACTGTAAGCTTTTTTTCCCCATTTAGAAATGTAACAGTTCACAAAGCTGGGATTCCGAAACGTAATATATCATTTGGAGGATAATAAGTACATAAATAAATCAAGGACAAACAGAGTAAAACCTACTAAAGGCGCTCCGGGTGGCTCAGCGGTAAATCCGAGGGTAAGTATAACGCTAAAAATTGGTTTCGATACCCGCGGTGGCCAGAGCTCAGGTAATCCATTGTGTAGCTTTGCACTTAACAACAAGCAGAGTGAAACCTACTAAAGGCCTTATTGGACGAACTATTTGAAAGCGTTCTATACAAGTTATTAAAAGCTTTTCAACTATATTTTTTATTAAATTAAGATAGTAGTTGTTTATGTGACATCTTAAATACAAGTTGACCTTGACCTTAGTTGACCTTGACCTTAGAATCTGTTTTGTTCGAAACAAAAATAAAGATGACCTTTTTGTAACCATGTTTCCCATCTCGTGACATGACCGATAAAGACCTATAGCTTGTAGTTCATTCTGAGGGCTACAATTCCATGTCATGTTTTGATATTTGGTAGTACTTAGAACTAAAATGAGAAAGAACCTGATCTAAATTCAAAACTGGTCTTATTGTTGAGATTGTTTAACATCGGTAACTTTTAAACAACATTAAAATTATATTCACGTGTGATAATTTTTATCATTGTTTCGAAAAATATAAGGCATCCCGGGTTACTAGGTCACTTCGTATGAGAATAAACAAGTTCTTTTAATATTCAGGTTTTAGGTGAAAGTTGATATAGTTATGAGCTCTAAGTAATATATTTATGGTGTTTGAAAAATAATTAAATTCACGATAAAACTAAGCCTAAAAAAGTAGCAATATCTTAATATTTTTTAAAGCTGAGCGAAAATGTTAGCGACTGAAAGAAAAAATCAAGTGGCACCATCTGTGTGGTTACGTTGCATTGCACATGCTCAGTCTAACTTGGAAAGTAGAGCCAGCAAACACATTTTATGTTTTTAAGACTGAAGCTTATAAAAAAAAAAGTCTTGATTTTTTATGTCGACGACATAATTGTTATAAGGAAGAGGAGAAAATAGATTAGTTGAATATATCATACAAAACCATGTTTTGTCATTATCACGTATAACACATATATAGTTGATTCTTCAGAGTATCGTTATGATCCTGCGCTGTATGTCTTCGACATTACATAATCAGATCGTTTTTATCTGTAATTCAGATTGAAGATACAGTCAGGTTTCACATACTTTCAAACACTTACTGTCACATAACCTCCATGTTCTGCTTTACCATCATTCCTCCATGGTTATGTCGTGATCAGGTTCTGTTTTACCTGGTTATGTCATAGTAAGGCTTTATTTTACTTTCAAACTTCCACTTTTATGTTTTTCCCTTTAAACCTTTAATCGTGTATTGTTCAGTTTCTACAGTTTACCTCCATGTTTACGTTGTGGTCAGGCGTTGTTTTTACTTTCAAACCTCTATGGTTTTGTTATATTCAGGCTAAATTTTACTTTTCAATTTCCATGGTTATGTCATTGTCATTTCAAACCTTCATGGTCGTATCGTGGTAAGGTCGATTTCCATAAAACGTCAAAATATTGTGACTGATGTTTCTTATAACTCGAAAATCATTTAAAATTTAAGGGTACATTTTTTTTAAAGTTGGAATAATTCTGCTATTTTATTTAATAAAATAAAATTTAACTAATATATTTACGTTTAAGTGAATCATTCCTTAAAAGACCAGAGTTTTATTTTTATATTTTTTTGACATTTTGAAGATTAGTAAAGAGTGGAAGTTTAATAAACCATTAAAGAAAGAAGTGAATTCGTTACGTCAGCTTCATTAATATTTAAAAAATGAAATAAGATATTGTAACAGTTTAGACTTCATTTAAAAAGAAGGAGATTAAAATTAGTTATTCATAAATAAATTATAACTTACTAAAGATAGAGTTAGTGTTATGTTTAGTATTATAACTTACTATAAACAGAGTTAGTGCTATTTTTAGTATTATAACTTACTATAAACAGAGTTAGTGCTATTTTTAGTATTATGACTTACTAAAGATAGGTTTGGTGTTATTTTTAGTATTATAACTTACTAAAGATAGAGTTAGTGTTATTTTTAGTATTATAACTTACTAAAGACAGAGTTATTGTTATTTTTAGTATTATAACTTACTAAAGATAGAGTTAGTGTTATTTTTAGT